CTCCAAATAAAAGTCCAGGAGGGAAGAAGGACAGATCCCTTCTTCAGAGCAGCAGTCATCTGTCCTCTTCACATGCATGCAGCTGATAACTGGACTGTTGTAGCTGGATCTCTTCTCAATACAGACGAGAGGGTCTCCAAGCCCCTTGGCCCGTCATCTCCAAACGAGGGCCTTTCAAGACATGAGGGGGTCTCCTTTCACTCCTCTTGGCTCTCCTTCAACTCCAAGCGAAGGCCTCACCTGTGGACTGCCAGCAGGGACAAAACTTGCTTCACCACAGGCATATCACAAAGTGCAGAGGCATCTTCATGAAAGTCCCTTCCTCAGGGGAGTTCACCCCTGAGTCAGAACATCTTGGGCAACATTCAGTTGAAAGCCTTTGCTTCAAGAGTTCTACCAGAGCTCCTGTGCTCTGTCTCAGGCTGCCACCTTGGCAGCAGTGGCGGGGGGGGGGGGGGGCCAAGGTCACCCCCCTCTGCATTCCTCTCCGTCCGGGTCCAGCTTCCCAGGATGCTCTGAGCTTCTCAGCTCCTGTCTGCAGTGCATGTCACACTTCACCCCTCCCTTCTAGGACATGAGGGGTCTCCAAGGAGTTTGGGGGGTCTGGTTCAGTTCTTACCCCCAAAACTCTGTCTCTGCTGCTCTCTCTCTCTCTCTCTCTCTCTCTCCTTGCAGGAGCTCTTTCTCTGGTGCTGCATGCCTTTGTTGCTGCTTGGTCTTATCTCTCCTGGCTCTCTGCCACCTTCTCCAGCCACTGTTGCTTCTGCCGCCACTGCTGCTGCTGCTGCTCTCAGTGAAGAAACATCTCCCAGCTCACAGCTACAGACACATAGTCCAGTTTAACACTGTTCCAAGTTCCTGCAGCACCCCTGCTGGTGGCTGGGAGGCCAAAACCCCCCCAGGGGGCTTCTGCCCTCTGCTCCTCGTGGCCTCAGAACATGGCTACCACTTCTACCACCAAACTACAACTAACCTTCTCTTCCGTTTGCTTGTGGTACGTTTACATTTCGCAGGAGCGCAGACTGGACAAAACTTCCAAACTTCCAGGGGTTACCACCCCCTGGGGTTTTACCATTTTCTTAGCTTCAGGGGGAAAACCTGGTTCAAACCACTACACTCTAGTAACTAGTTTTTGTTTGCATTCCAACCCTAGGATGCTGTCTTACACGCACATGGAGGGACAGTACCATTGATTCCAAGGATAGTTTGTGGTTATTAAAGATGTTAGTTTCTATATGTGCCTGCAAGGGTGAAAGATTAGATTAAAGCTTCTGTAGATGTTGTACCTCATCTTGCCTGTATCAGTTTCATAAACCAGAGTAGCTCCATTCAAGCCAAAAGCTGCTCCCTGGAGTAAACATTGTGTGAAAACAGAGATGGTTTTTTCCCCATTGATTCTTTAGTTCTGTTTATAAAGGGTTGTGAACATCTGAGTGCAGTTGAAATTACTGATAATAATAAAAGGCACCAAATTTCTGTAGGGTTATTATGAGTGTATTTTTGTGTGGATGTTGTGCCCTGTTCTGTCCTTTTTACTTAAAAGTTTGAAGATACAGGTGGCTGGGAGTTGTATCTGTTGTGTATTTAAGGGGGATTTATGTGAAGAAACCACATTTGGGGAAAAGAAGACAAATTCCAGAGAAGCTCTGACTATATGGTAACTAGCTGTAGCTAGAAATCACTGTTGTTTCTATACCATAACAAAGAGTGGTCTGTCATCTGTGTCTTCCCCCAGTCTCCATCCCCCCCAAACCCCTCCCCCTTGTTTACTACTCAAATGCGTTCATTTTTAATGTTAAAGTGTTGAAAATATGGAAAAGATAAGGCTCTGTGCCATATTCCTGAATTGTAATATATATATGGGAACTGAAGTGCTAGAGACAGTAGCTCTGTGCCAGAAGGGTACTGGCACAAGCAATTCCATTGCCTTGGCCCAGGGCTCACCACAGTAAACACTTTTTCCATATGGGACATTTACTCCCTTCTTAAGGGGAAACATTAGCACATTGTTACTCAGTCTTCATGGAGAGCAATATGTTACGATATTACTCCTAAAATGTGCTCTGCTGACACAGAACCTTAGTTGATCACTCCTCAAATTCTCATTTACATTTTTCCCATCACCTCATTTATATACTACTGAGGGAACACTGCAAAGTGTCTACTTGAGAAATAGATTAAAAAGTAGAGGAAAAGATCATTAATAAAATGATCTGATGGCCCCAGAGATAGTTTGCCACAGCTGGCTTAATGCACCTCAGGTAGGCTGTGGTCATCAGCTGCATGAGGTCTCTTTGAGCCTTTACTAGCATAGACTTCAGTCTAAGAAGGGGATGGCAGCAGCTAGTTAATGCAGAATAAGCCATTGTATCTTGAGCATTTAGCTCAGTACTTAATCTAAATTGACTGTGAACTTTGCAGAGAGAGTTGACCTTTAACACACATGTGATGAGAAGAAATATAACCAAGCAATGTAAAATACTATAGTTTATACTATAGTATGTAAAATGCTATACTGTAGTGGGGTTGTTTAAAAATTTTATTTGTTTTATATTTGGTTTTGGGGCTACTGCCCTCAGTTTTGCACTGAAATATCAAATGAATTCCCAGATCAACTGAGGGTTTCAGCCTTTCATTGGCCCTTGAGGTTTAAGTATTTGCAAAATTCCTCCTAAAGTTCAGTTAACCCTGGAGCCTGTGATAAAAAGCCAACAGAAGAAAGGTATTCAGGGTTGATATAAAGATTCTGTGAAGATAAAATTAATATGTACTTTAGTAACTGCAAGGACCAATGCTGATTGGTGAAGGTAGAAATCTGTTTGGCTCTGTCATAGCACCAGTGTTTGTTGACTCAGCTTCTACTGATTTACAAGCAAAAGGTGGGGTTCTTTAATTTCATCTGATGGAGGTGGAGGACAGATTGAACTTGAGTTGTTTTAAGCATTACCCATTTTAACTTACCACAGTTGTATCTTCCACTGTCCCCTGAACAGTAGTGGTGATTTATCCATATAGATGCTGATTTGTGGTAAGGAAAGAAAGGTTCCTAATATAAAAGGGAAAGTCAGTGACCCAGACTATCAGGATAAGTGCAACCCTGTCACATTCCTTGCCCTATCTATGGACTGCACAGGCTGAGAAAAAGTGCTGAATGCTTTCTCAATTTTTGAAAAAATTCACCCTGGTGCAGGAAATAGAGAAAAATGTCCCTGCATACCATTTGGAATGCAGATTATGCCTCTACTGACCCAGGTTAATAAAAACACCAGCATCTTGGAGGATGGAGAAATGAAAATTGCAGGTCTTTTCAGTTTGTCTTTCTCAGCTGGTCTTTCTTCTCTTGCTGACCATAGTGCAATGCTGTGGTTTGGACATTAACAAAGAGCATTAAAGCATGCAAAAGCGATATTTGTTTTATCCTGAAATTTGTCTTCTTTTCTTAATCACTTACGAGGAAAAGATTAAATATTTCTATTTACATTTGATGTGTATTACCACTGTAGTGAGAAAATTTGGAGCCTGAATTTCAGAATTGCTTGCTACCTGCAAGTCTAGGCCATGTGAATCAAAGCTGCAAGTACTTAGTTCTTCTGAATTTCAAACTTTTTTTCTTTCCATGCAAACACTGATAGCTTGATATCCTTCATGTGTCTGTATGTATGTGTGTACAAATGTGTTTGCCTATATATAATGTATATATACATTTACAGTCTACTCAGTTCTTTTACTCTCTTCATTTTTTGTTTGTTATGAGATGGTACTGTTCTGTGCAATTAACTGATTTTTTTAATATATTTTCCCCCTTCTTGTCTTCCTTTACTTTTTCTTTTTTGAATTTGTTTTTGTTTTTAGCCTCTCTTCCTGTATGTGAGCAAGGTTATGAGGGTCATGTTGAGAATGTTGGCAGCTTTGTAGTTCTCATACAATAAAATATAAACAAAAGCTCATTGCTGGATTATGTTTCTTAAATTGTTTGACATGCCTTGTTGAGATGAATGAAATGTGGTTCCTTCGTACTTTTGGGATGACTGTACCCTAGAAGAAATAATGGAGAGCATCTCCCTGCTGTGCAACTGGAGGTCTTCACCCTTTTCTGACTAGCCACTCAGTGTTTTCTCTGTGACACTGTCTCTCTTTCTCCAGAATGTATGAATGGTCTTAGATTCCAGTTATGATAACTGTAGCAAATTTCGTATTTGGCTATTTTTGCTAATTTTTACATAAATACCTGGTATATCATATTATCTTTTACTGTACTGTCACATCCAAGACCTGCAGTTCTGTGCATTGATACTGTATTTTCTTGTGATTTATCTTTAACCTTTATTCCTACTTGTTAGCTCATCTTCTGGACAGCCTAGAAGGATTAAATAACAAATAATAAATGTGAGATGAATATTTATATTTGCCTCTATGTGTGCATGTCTGTGTTTGTTCATAATCTGTGATATCATATTGCAATAATGTGTTGATTTGTGATGTATAGCAGTTAGTTTAATTGAACCATCCCCTTGGTATTCCCCTTGTAGAAGGTGACTCCACCATGTTAGATCCAACATAAACATCTGAAGAAAGATTAGTCACATTTAGTGAACATTTGTTGCAATTTCTACACATTCTTTTCATTTACGCCAGTTTCTGGATTTTATTTGATCCTCATTTCCATTTTTTCTGTCCATAGCATAACTCAAAGAAGATTTTTCACAGGGTTGCTAGAATGTTACAATAAATATGAACCTTTGAGAGACAAACTTGTGTATTTGAATGCAGGCATAATATCTTGTTCGTTACATTTTCTCTGTTCACTTACTTTACAGTTTTCAACTAATTTGTTACCACTAAAAATAGGTCATGTGAAATAGTTCCACATGAGGATCACAGGGTTTTCTTACAGTTCCAAAAGACAGTGTCGGAACCAGGAGTCAGGAGCTGTTCATTCCCAGTATGGCATATGTGAAAGTTGACCGGAGTTAAACCAGTGTAACTGTTTCTGCCTACAGTGTTGATGACAGAACTGCCTACCTGGCCCTGGGAGCAGTGAGGAACATCTCGCTTAACATTTTCATCTCTAACATTGGGGATGATGCCTATGACACCAACGTTTTCTTCAATTTTTCTGGGGAGCTCTTCTTCATCAAAATGTGGCAAAAGGTAAGAAAGGCCAGTCTCACTGTGAACAATTCTTTTAAGCCAATTTAATTACAAGATGTACGTACAGGGGGTGGCCTGGTGCACACTGTTGAGTCATTTGGAGGTTGATTTTGGTTATGCTGGACTTGAATTTCTTTCAGGCTATTTAATGAGATTTTTTTTTGTATGGGTTTGATGTGTGTAGATTACACCCTTTGTATTTCTGTATAAGACACATTCCTGTTATTTGTGGTGCACTAATGAAAGACAGTTTGTTTGAGGTATTGAGAGGTGGAGGGAGACTAGTTTGGAAACTGCTAAGATGCCAAATGGCACTGAAATACAAAGGGTACCTCTAGTTTGAGTGATACCACACTGCACTCAGCAGTCCTGGTCATTTCCTGAACTTGGACTCCTAGACTTACTCCTTGTTGAAACCAAGATACAAACCTGTTCTTTGCTCATGTCCTGGTGCAAGTTTGGGTTGTGGCCAGGGTACACCACTAAATGGGAGGTCAAGAGTGCTTTTAATTTCACCCACATGGAGTGAAGTGATTTTGAGTTTTAGTCTGTTTTCATTTAGATTGAAATACTTGGATGTTTTCATTACCAGAAGTTCGTTATAAGATAAAGGTGTTGTAATACAAGCTTTTTGCAAAAAACTGCTGGCTGTGATAGCTGTCTGAGTAGGAATAATGTGAAAATAATTGTGCAAAATGGGAGCTGTACATTCTGTCTGTTTGTTCCTGCTTTTCACAGTCATTTGTTTCTTTGCTGGAGCTTTGCTTAGCTGTGCAAAACACAATAAGAGCAATATTTAAAACAGCAATACAACTGTTGCGAACTGTAGGATTTATTTGGTCTATTGAACCAATGAAATTGTGCCATTATTTGTCCTGTTTTATTATAGGTGTAAATTATTATAAACCTCTTAACTCATTGTATAATAAAAAAACCATATAATTTCTTATACCTGTTAATTCTTTTAGTGTTCAATTTTGACTACACAGTTGCAAGCCTCAGAGAATTATCTTTTTATTATGAGCTTCATTTTCAGACATTATGTGTTGCAAGTGTGCAATTTATCAGGAGGAAAAAGGCAGGGGATAAAACAGAAATGCCTTATGCCAATGCACAACTTCTCCTTAATGGAAATTTTATATGAAGATTTTCAGGGTCTGGCCCAGCTCCTGCTGAAGTCAGTGGGAGAGTTTCCATTCCTTTGCACTGGAAAAAAACCAAAGCTTGACGCATGCTCTTTTAAAAGATTGCTGTAGTCATTTTTTTTTCTTCTGTGCTTACATTTTAAATATTTTACACACACTGATTAACTGGAACACAGTTCCAGTTGTATGGATGAATACAGTCATGTAAGATGTACTTTTTAGAAGGTAGCTTATGCTATAGCAAAGCCTGTTTACAGTGAATCCTGACCTACCTGGTGGTGTACCACCGAAGGTGGTATTTCACCATGGCTGGGCACCAGCAGAGGTCCTGGCTTCTGTCCAGGTGGGAAGAGAAAAGGAAATCCAAAGTCCTGAACTTATGATACTTCTTCAAGGGGTGTAGAAGGACTCCCTGAGCCACAGGCAGCAGTTGCCCATTCTATTTCAGTCCCTGCATGGCCCGCCAGGCAAGCTGCTTCTCTCTGCACGTTTTCAGGAGCTGCACAGAGCTGGGAGCCACTGCCATGGTTGCAGTAGTGCCAAGTAATGGGAGAGGGCTTTGGAAAAGGGATTCATCTGCCTCTGTTGCTGAGATCCAACCACCACAATCTAGACTGTTATCTTGATAAACTGCATTACTAGAAGAAAGGTAAAAACCCTTCACAGAGGGTAGAGCCCAGTATACAGTGAGCTCAATACACTTGATCTTGGATGTGCTTAATTGAAGGTTATGCTGTCCATATGGAGAAATCACCAGTGCCTTTCCTGTGTCCCAGTGTCTCTCTCCATTATCAAGTTTTGCACTTAAACTCAGTGGACAGAGACTTGCCAATGTTTGAGGTGAGAAATCTGTGGGAGAGGGTTCGTCTCCTGTGTTCTTAGGATGAAGCTTAAAATTGTCCAACCTTTGATATCTTCTACAAAAGACTTAAATAAGAATTTATTTGCACAGCTTTCAGTGGCTTTCGTTGCAACAAGAAATGGGGGTTTGTTTTTGTTGTAACTTGAAGCTTAAAGTTTATTGAGTTTCTGGTATGAAAGGTCAGTTCCCTTTTCAGAAGTTTCTTTTAGTGACTTTTAAAACAGGCAGCTGTCAGAAGATAAATGACACCCTGAGAGGAAAATCCAATAGAATTTTAAACAAATATATATCTTCATAGTATATATAAACATATATATTATATATGTGTGTGTATATATGTATGTATTTGCATTGCTTAGTCCTGTGGGATGTTATAGTCATAGTGCTCTGTGGCTGGAAATAGTGCCAATTGCTCTCTTTCACCTGGTTATTTGGATTTCTCCTGTGAACCTGATAAGATAAAAACAAAACCCTCTTTAATTAATCTTATTAAGCACAAGACATGGTCCTGTAGGCATACTTAAGTTGTAGCCTCTCTGAAGTCAACCACAGTTTTGCTATAGTAAGACTTAAAAAAACCAGCTGCACAGTCAAAAACGTGAGTAAAGATGTGAAGAGTGTTTAGCTGAAAATCCGAGGGGGGCCAGAGCTTCTTAAGAAATCACAAGCTTTCCTTTCCCTGGGTTTAACATTAGTCTGTGTTCCTTTTAGCAGAAGCAGGTGCATTAAACCCTGTCTGAAGAAGGCCCCAAATCTGGTTGTGGTTTCTTTTTTTTTGTGAGAGAGCTTCCTGTGGCGTTTCATCAAAACCAGAGGTATTGAGCACAGCAGGGAGGACGAGTGAGAAGCATTTCAACTGGCTTCATTGCAGGCTCTGAGGACAAGCAGGGGGCCTTCTCTTCATTGCAACCCCCCACCCAGCCAGGCTGCAGGGGATGCCGAGCCCGGCGCATTCCCAGCCAGCAGCGCTTTTGCAGCCTGCGTTTGGGAGGAGGCCAGAAAACTTGCACTTGACTTTTGACCATAACAATCTGCAGAAACAGTGCTTTCCACTGAGCAAGGGAAAAGGAGGAGTGAACTAAAAAGCTGCTCTATAAAGTAGTGTGGCACCTCTTAAAGCCTTACAGTGAATTGCTAAGCTTTCCTTTTAAAAACAGGAGATATATATGTTAAATAAGCCTGTTTCAATATCCCAGTGCTGTAGGTAATGGATTACACCTCTGCATTTCTGCATTGTTCCTGGGTTACAAGGTATTTATGATGTCATAAGGTTTTTCCAGGAAAATATCCTAATGCACACTGTGTTTGAGTTTCTGAAAGACCAAAACCCCCAAACCTCTGTGTGTTTGTAAAAGGCATTTCCTGGGGTTTCAGATTTGGCTTTGGTTGTTGGGAATTGTATGTTGAGCTAAGGTTTTTTAATTCCAGGAAAATACCCAGTGCCAAGCTCATTATTATTGTTGTTACTTAATGTTATTTACACTTGAAAATTACTAACAGCGAAGGACGGAAGAGCAGGAGGGCAGGGTAAGGCTGGATTTTATTGATTGTGTTTTCTCATCCAGTTTGGTTTTAATTGTGAGTTTGGGGTTTTTTTTCAATTATTTGTGAGGTTTTTAGTTTACTTTTTCATCAAACTCTGTGTAGTTGATGACACTTGAATTTATTTTCTGAATTCGTTATGAATTTAAGCATTTCTTAATATATATTATCTTGTAACACTAAGATCAAATAGCTGTGTTGCAGTTGAATACACCAATATTCATTATAATTGAAGCCTTATACACAAAAGATTGTCTTACAGTATATGTGGGCATATATTATCCAAAAGATAAGTGCCACTTATCTTTTGTTTCTGCTTTTAATTTTTGGTGTTTTGAAGATATGTTTTTGTTGTAGAATAAAAATGCATATAACTATATTGGGTTTGTGTAGCAAGGTTCTGGTAGTAGATGGGGCTATAGGAGTGGCTTCTGTCAGAAGCTGTTGGAAAGCTTCCCCCATTTTCTCATAGAGCGAATGACAGCTGGCTCCAAGACAGACCCACTGCTGGCCAAGGCTGAATCAGTCAGAGGTAGTAGTAACACCTCTGTATTAATGTATTTAAGAAAGAAAAAAGTTATTGTGCAAATGTAGTTGTGGCCAGAGAAGAGAGGTGTAAGAATATGTGAGGGAAACAACTATGCAGACACCAAGGTCAGCAAAGAAGGAAGGGGAGGAGGTGATCCAGGCAGCAGAGCTGAGGTTCCCCTGCAGCCCATGATGAACATGGTGAAGGAAGTTGTCCTCCTGCAGTCCGTGGAGGTCCAGGGGGGTGCAGAGATCCACCTATAGCCCGTAGAGGAGCCCCACGTCAGAGCAGGTGGATGCCCAAAAGAAGTCTGTGAACTCATGATATGTGTGTGCATGAGCACATGTATACATGTATGTGCAGTGAGATGAAGGAGTTCATCTAGCCAGCTTACTTCCCAGTTATTTTGTTCCTATTTACTTGTCCTGTTGTTCAATGCAAAAGACTGTTGCCCACATCATGCCAGGAAATGATATCTCATGCCTTTGGAAGGGAGAGCTTTATGTATCTTGGAATAAATGAAAACATTATTTCAAATGATGACAACAAAATAAGTTTTTTTCCAAGATGGCTGCCTAGCTCAGTAGCTTGGGAAGGTGTCTAGTAAATCAGCTGAGTGGATTAGGAGTGGCAGTGAAATTTTTCTACTCTCCTGCTGTCTATTGTAGGAAGCAAACAAAAGGAAGGGGTGCTTCACACCATGTCTGGTTTGTGCAACTCATGACACTGGTCCTTGAAAATAAGAATATGAAATTATTTGCGTGATTAGCGTTTGTGTTAAAACTGATGCCATATTTTCCAATATTGAGATGGAAAATTCATGCGGAAGTAAATTGTGTCTATAAAAACAAATACCTGATGTAAAGAGACTGTGTTTGGGTCATTTTCAGCGTGTATATGTTACTTGAGAAAGTTGAATTAT